GTGTATTATGGGTATTCTCTAGCCGTTGAGTGTACATCAGTTGTACACTCATTATTGCATTGCATTATGGGATTCATCGAGTGCACTCTACAACCACTACACATGGCTGTACCCTCAAATAGTGCCCTATTTAAGGGTATAGGAGGCAATTTCGACACAGTCCTCACCTAGTTCTTATTCTGTTAAATGCCCACATTATTCATATACTCTCCCCTATTTATTGTGCTTGATCCTTTACTCTGATTTTTGTCTAATTGTATTTTATCATGCACCAGAGTGGTTTGTGCCTTGTACAATTTGCTTTAGCTCTCTTGAGCTAAGTTTTCCCTAGGCTTGTCCTGTCCTGATCCTGTTTTGCCTACGTTTTCTACCCTGACTTCCCCTATCAAAGATCTGCTCTACCTGCCGTCTGGACTCTCTGCAGGCCTCTGAGCTCTTCCATCTCTCTCAAGCCCTTTGGTTCTGGTTGCCAGTTTCGGATCTCTCGATACTGATCTGCCTTCTGGCCCTGATCTTGCACCTGTTTTTTCTCCTCTGCTCTGTCTGCTCTTCTTGAACTGCCTTTCCCTTGTCGGATGAAGTTTGCCCCAGAACTGAGAGGCCTGCTGGCAAGTTCTGGCTTTGTGTTTGACTTTTATATTAACAAGTTTCTGAAAAAATCTAGTCTCAAAAATCTGGCATTATACTATGTTAGCCACGAGGAATGTTACACAGCAAAAACCCCAGTGTTAAATTAACTGTCTTCAGAGTTTATTTGAGTCCACACTCAAGAGAGTTAGAATTAACACTGAAGCAGTGATAAAGTTAATAAGATAATTTAGTGATCAGTTGGATGATGATTGACGTTAGTGAAGACACCTGATGTTCACAAACAGAATCTCTGAAGGAAAGAGTCTACATGTTAAAGTTACCATTATGGTGATCAGTGTTTAGCTGGGATATTGACCCTTTAAGTTTTAACATTACATTTTGTCAGGCTGCTGTAACCACGTTATAGATGAGCCAAGAGAAAATGTGATCAGGTGATGTTGGTTATGTTATGACATCATCGTGTTGTGACCTGAATCACTGATCTCACTTTGAGACAAATTTTTGAGTTAGATTTACCTTATTGAATAAAGTAGCCCTGGGATTCTACAGCATAAGAACTGGTATTTTCAATATATTCAGAGGGATTTCTAAAATCTGTTCTGATAAAAAAAAATACTCTATCATTTAGACACATACAGACATCAAGAATGAGATTATGAATCTCAACAGTTGTGACCATCAAAAGGCATGACATTCAACATGAGCATTACATTCTGGGTACCACCAATCAAAATTCATCCATGGCTCCCAGCATGCATTGTGGCATGAATACATTAGCTGCATTGTCTTTGTAATTTCTTTCATTCTTACTATTTTTTATGTGACTTTTTAGTAGCTTAGTTGGTGATGTTCAGATTTGATCTGTTTTTCTGAATTAGCTGTCTGTAATCATTGCTGAGATTCATACACTGATTCTTGATGCGTGTGTCTAAAAATGAAGCAGTTCAAACATATTTTGTGCAAAATCTCTGGAACATCACAGGGCTGCTGTAATCAATAATGTACACTACATGGTGATTGTCACTATCAAAACATAACCAACACCTGAAGACATTTTCATTTCATTTGATAATTTTAAAATAAATGTGTTTTATAACAGTTATAGCTACCAGAAAAAAAAAAAAAAAAAAAAAAAGGTTAAGAGCCCAGCTAAAACAAACACTTGACCTGCATAGTGGTGACCTAAAAATGTTGACTCTTTTCTTCAGTGATTCTGCTTGTTAACATCAGGTGTCTTCAATAATGGTCAATCATCACTCAATTAATCACTTAATTATCTCATAAACTTTAAAGTGCCCCTATTATGCCTTTTTGAATATTACCTTTCATGCAGTGTGTCATGTAGCTGTATGTGAACATAAACTATCTGCAAAGTTGTGAAGCCGACATTGCATGATAAATAAAGTTATTGTCTATCAAAAAAAGAGTCGGCTCGCAATAGCCTAAACGAGTCATCATGTATTCGAATCTTATTCTGTTATGGCTGTACGTCACGAAGTAACACATTTGCATAATGTCCGCCCACATTCTACGTCGCCAACTTGCCTGCCCACAAACAGTAAAATTTCCGTGTGGTTAACACCATGTCCAAAAGACGCTGTATCCTACGCTGTAAAAGTAAATTAGTTTTATCACAGCTTATAATTACCACAAACTTGTTAACACTTGTCGGCTCGCAATAGCCTAAACGAGTCATCATGTATTCGAATCTTATTCTGTTATGGCTGTACGTCACGAAGTAACACATTTGCATAATGTCCGCCCACATTCTACGTCGCCAACTTGCCTGCCCACAAACAGTAAAATTTCCGTGTGGTTAACACCATGTCCAAAAGACGCTGTATCCTACGCTGTAAAAGTAAATTAGTTTTATCACAGCTTATAATTACCACAAACTTGTTAACACTTGCCACTTGCCACTGAGAAAGGTCCTGCTCCAGTCATGCTTGCGAATCAGTCTCTTGTCGATCAGCCAGTTCAACTGTTTCATCATCAGACTCCGGCTCGAATTGGTAAGGTACAATCGATACCATCTTTTCTATGTAATGACAAGTCTCCAGGGCTGTCATTCTGTCATGGCAACGGGCATTTCGTTTCTGACACGCGCTGTACGCGGTAGACCAATCACAGCAGTGAGGGCTCACGGAAAGGAGGGGTTTAGAGAGACTGATTCTTTGAACTGCTTCGCACTAGTCGTTTACGAATCATTTAGAAATGAGGTAAAAATTAAATCTATTTTTTGAGAAAACTAACATGTTTTTTAACCTTGCATGCATGTAAACCTGTTTTAGGAGACTCATAAAACAATATTAGCAACCTTAAAAATGGCATAATAGGGGCACTTTAACACTGCTTCAGTGTTACTTTTAACACTCTTGAGTGTGTACTCAAATAAACTCTGGGGAGAGTTCATTTAACACTGGGGTTTTTGCCGTGTACATATCACAATAATATTACTTATTATTAGTGTGTACAGTATTCTAGTTGGCACATTTCCTTCTGAAATCCAAACAATGCTCTCTCAGAAAAGAGCATTGCTGGTACTGCTCTTCACTGGTCCTTTCTCACTTGCAGACTCTTCAAGGTTGGGGCAGAGGCTGTCTATCACATAAGCTAACCACTGGGGTGTCTCAGGGAGTGCAAGAATTCTTATGGAAATATTTACTGGGTGCTTACTTACTGGCTAAAGTCAAAAGAGTCCAAATCTCTAAGAAAAACTCAAATATGTAATTCTGCCATTTAGTGATTATGACTACTGATTCAAGCAATTGGATAAAAGAAAATGAGGTACACTAAACTCTTTCTTAAAAACCTTCAATCTGTTGTTTTCAGAAAAAAAACAGAAGAAAAAAACAGCAACAACAAATAAATAGCTCTGGTGCATTTTTAAAAAAAGTAGCTGATCTGCTTAAGACACTGATCAAACAAAATCAAAACAAAAATGCATGATTAAAAAAAAAAGACATTCAACAAAACCACATGGCAACTGCTATAATGTGTGTACAGTAAACTATTTTATGCATGTACTATAGTCTATCACTTCACTTCATTCATTCTGTTACATTCATTACACGGTAAGTACAGTACTGTTGTGAAACCACTAATGGTCACTGTTGAAAATGGCAATGAAAAACTTTTGATGAAGGCTCTGATAAGTCTCTTAAAATAAAGGTTCAACATGTACTAAATCCTTTAGTCTCTATAAAAATGTGTCGATTAATATAGAATGTCTGTTGTTCTTATTACTTGGAGTCAGGTAAAAATTGAAAGATGAATCTTCGAACGAACTGTTCGAGAGTCTTTCAGAAATAAGGTAAATTGAAATATTATATTATAAGAATATGAAAGTGTTTTTTAACCTTGCATGCATGTAAACCTGTTTTAGGAGACTCATAAAACAATATTAGCAACCTTAAAAATGGCATAATAGGGGCACTTTAACACTGCTTCAGTGTTACTTTTAACACTCTTGAGTGTGTACTCAAATAAACTCTGGGGAGAGTTCATTTAACACTGGGGTTTTTGCCGTGTACATATCACAATAATATTACTTATTATTAGTGTGTACAGTATTCTAGTTGGCACATTTCCTTCTGAAATCCAAACAATGCTCTCTCAGAAAAGAGCATTGCTGGTACTGCTCTTCACTGGTCCTTTCTCACTTGCAGACTCTTCAAGGTTGGGGCAGAGGCTGTCTATCACATAAGCTAACCACTGGGGTGTCTCAGGGAGTGCAAGAATTCTTATGGAAATATTTACTGGGTGCTTACTTACTGGCTAAAGTCAAAAGAGTCCAAATCTCTAAGAAAAACTCAAATATATAATTCTGCCATTTAGTGATTATGACTACTGATTCAAGCAATTGGATAAAAGAAAATGAGGTACACTAAACTCTTTCTTAAAAACCTTCAATCTGTTGTTTTCAGAAAAAAAAACAGAAGAAAAAAAACAGCAACAACAAATAAATAGCTCTGGTGCGTTTAAAAAAAAAGTAGCTGATCTGCTTAAGACACTGATCAAACAAAATCAAAACAAAAATGCATGATTAAAAAAAAAAGACATTCAACAAAACCACATGGCAACTGCTATAATGTGTGTACAGTAAACTATTTTATGCATGTACTATAGTCTATCACTTCACTTCATTCATTCTGTTACATTCATTACACGGTAAGTACAGTACTGTCGTGAAACCACTAATGGTCACTGTTGAAAATGGCAATGAAAACCTTTTGATGAAGGCTCTGATAAGTCTCTTAAAATAAAGGTTCAACATGTACTAAATCCTTTAGTCTCTATAAGCACAACCACATTTTAGGCAATGGCTGCCAATAGCCAGTTGGCATTATTTAAACGTCATTCAACTATTTCAACATAAAGACACCTTAATGTCCACATCTAGATGTACATCATCTAGAAGAAGGAATTTACCAGTCCTTGGCATGGATTTACCTTCAGACAAATCCCTCCGAAACTAAATGAATTCAAGTCCCTCATACTTCACGTCCCCAATCTTGGTTTCATTCACTGCAAGCCACTCAGCCTTAAACCCTAGAGAACATCACAGAAATAACCACAACTGAATCAGACATCATGTGTGAATTAATTGCTTCGAATTTCATTCATTATTATATCTTTATTTGAATAGTTTTTGACTGTTACCTTAAATTCAGCTCATGATAAAGATGATAAATTAATGTAGGTGTCAAGGTGGGGGTCGAATGTAGGTATTCGTAATGTGTGTGTGTGCATTAACTTGGATGGGTTAAATGCAGAGGACAAATTCTGAGTATAGGTTACCATACTTGCCCTTCACATCACTTTGAAAACAGCTGTGCTTAATTTAATTGCAAAAAGGGTACAATAGCAACACTAACCTTTTGAAACCGAGCCATCCCCATCTGGCAGTATGACCCAGGGCACTGCCTTGAGTCCATCTATGTTATATACAACACCCGTACGATCATCAACGCTGTACAGCTTGCCATTAAACACCACTAATTCGGAGAGCTCCATGCCACGACCCTTCTCTGCCAGGTGACTTTCCAAGACCACCCTGTCCTGATCCCATTCGACCGCTACTGTATCTCCACTCTCCGACACCAGGAGGTGACCCTTCAGCATGTAGCTAAACCAGGTCAGCTTCATGTCACTGAGTGAGTTCGTGTCCAGGTCAGCGATGACCCCTATACGGTAGTGTGTGCCCTGTGCCGTGCGCTCTGGTGGACTGAGGGGGTATGTGTCATTGTAATGGCCCTCCGTTCTCACCTCCTGATGGTTTAACCTCAAACCAAATTTGCTTCTGGTTTGGGGGTGAAAGGGCAAAAGCTGCATGTAGATGAGGAGGACGAGGGTTAGTGCTGACGCTATCACCACGATGGCTTTCCATTTGATGCGGAAGCGGGAGTCGGTGGTGTTGGTCATGGAAGCCAGCATCGGGAGCCCTCCAACAGAGATGCGCAGAGAGTTCATAGGCTCATTTTCGTTAAGATGTGCATAGCCTGGAGAAACAGGCATTAGGGAGGGACAGCAGCCACACCTACACAGGGAACATATTTAGGTCAACATGACACATTTACATTTATTCATTTAGCAGAC